AAAAGTGGTCCGAGACCGTCAGTTTTTAACACTTTTGACTTGGAAATGTGCTTCGCGCCACAACGGCGTGCACTTTTTCGACATCGCAACTTCCAAAAGTCGTCCGACGCTGAGGTGTTTTGTACATTTTGACTTGAAATGTGCTTCGCGCCACAACGGCGTGCACTTTTTCGACATCTCAACTTCCAAAAGTGGTCCGACGCTGAGGTGTTTTGTACATTTTGACTTGGAAATGTGCTTCGCGCCACAACGGCGTGCACTTTTTCGACATCTCAACTTCCAAAAGTGGTCCGGACCTGAGGTGTTTTGTACATTTTGACTTGGAAATGTGCTTCGCGCCACAACGGCGTGCACTTTTTCATCGCTCCTGTGGCCAGCTGGGTCCGCACCCGCCGCTTTAGCGAGCCTACTTTTCGACCCTCCGTAGCCACAAATCATTGGAAAAACACAGTGTTTCGCGACTTTCCTACCTTTTCGCGCATCTGTATCTTCTGTCCTCTTACTCTTTCTCTTCTGATCTTCTCTCTTCTCTCTGCCTCTGCCCTGCTCTGCTTTTCATCTGTCCATATTGTTGGAAGTTTGACTTCTAAACTTCCTTCGATAAGAAAGTAACATTTAAAAAAACGGAAGGTTACGATTGGTGTCCCATCCCAACTACACGCCAGCGTTGTGCACAAAGACACGGTAAAAGACATCCAGTGGGACTGGATTTCTTAGCCATGTATTGTTTTGAGACTTTTATAATTCACAATTCACCCTAAAATTTGATCCTGATAGTATGTATGTGTCTATGTGTCCTGGGATTGGCCTTTCAGAGTCATTTCAGACCTGCTTCAGACCCTCCGGGGGCTAGATACAAAATGTGTGGACTATACGCCCATGAAGCTATTTGTTCAACCCCGATCATAAAGCCCTAGTAGTATGAGGTATTTGTGTCATCACGGGAGACTCCCAAACCCGGAATTGGGTGGGCGAGTCCGGGCACGGACCGGATGCTAGAGCTCGAAAGAGGTGGATCAAGTTGTCAGAGGAAGGTTGGTGGCCAAATTGTTAGAGTCTGTTTGCCGGCCCCATTTCTTAACCAGAGGGCCGTAGCCAAGAAGTATTTTAGACTCTAAACCCAAGATGCGTATTACTTATCACAAGGCTCAGCCGTAGGAGACAAAGGTTCCCTGATTGACAACAGCCAAAATACGCAAGAAAATGTCACATTTTGCGAAGCGCTGGCCCCTTTTCAACATTGAACCGTATGTCAACGTCTTGTCGAGAGACTATGGGACGCCACGGACAAAAATGTTTACTAGTTTATGAGAATGATTGCATTTGGACGCATTTGGTGCATGCGCAGTTGAGGGATATGACAACCAACCAGCCCGCAGTGGAATTGACGCTGAGGTGTGCACTGGGTTCGTCTTCTTCATCAAAGTCGCTGCAGTCTTTGGGACACGAAAGGACTCCGCAGTGGCAACGCCTAGGCAGATAAGAGTAGAAATTTAGCAAACCGTGTGGCAAAGCAGTCAACACAGAGATGCGAACACACGGGTTCACCACATGGGAAAACTGCGAAAACAGTAGCACGATCAGTGCAAACCTTGCATAGGCAGTGGTGAAATGCCGTGAAAACGATTGAAAACTGCTGCCCGTACAGCAGCATCTTTTGGAACTTCATAAGCTCCACCATGGGGAAATATGCGACAGTTTTTAAAAGCCGTTGGATTTTTTGGGTACCCGATCCGATTTCACACAAACTAAATTGGCAGTTCATCATGATCAAACCCAAGCGGCTTGTACTTCCGAGGCTTCATCAAATGCTCACATTTTTGATCCTCAACCTGCTCGGCATTTAGTGAATAGCACTTCACCTGGCCGAGTGTGTCTGATATGTTCGGGTCATAATTGGGCAGTTCTAGCGTGGATCAAAGTTTCATGCGTCAAATCTTAGCCCATATTGTACCACTACTGAATCGTTTCCTGTTGGTCCCAAGGTCACCCAAACACAAACCTGCACATTTCGGCGTCACGGAATCACCTTATAATATTATATATATATATGCAGATAATTAGATATACGATATAATAGAGATCGATTATATATTAATATTTGTTTTCAAAACTCCACAAATTTACCGTTGAATGCCGCCCAATGGAAATCGCCTCACGCGTCTGAAATGCAGGATTCTTTCCGAATGCACGCCTGCCACGAGTATATATTATATTGTATTCATGTGGTAGCTGTGTTAAAGAAGATTCTGTGATGAATCTGGTCCTGAACACCTGTCAGTAAGATTGATACCTGCATCTACGCCTGTGTATATAAGTTTCATTTTGTGCATGTACGAAAGAACATCACTTTGTAGATGTATGAAAGTGAAGATGTTGAAGGAGAAGGAAAAGAAGAAGAAACAGAAGAAGAAGAAGAAGGAGGATGATGTTGATGATGATGGTGATGTTGTTGATGATGATGATGGTGATGATGAGGATGATGATGATGATGATGATGATGACGATGATGGCGATGATGGCGATGGTGATGATGATGATGATGATGACGATGGTGTTTTGATGATGGTGGATGTGTTTTTACTGCGGTGTTGTGGTCATGGTGACGGGGAAAATGATTATGACAAAACATGCTGGCAGCTTTGTTTTGGGAAAAACCCTTTGCAGGTCTTTTCGGGAAATGGTGGCGTGTGTCCTGATGGTGTCTGTCCTTTTGTTGTATCGAAGAAACGTTTTTTTTTGAGCCAAGACGGCTCACCTGTCAATACCACATTGGTGTCAACAGAGATGCGAAACTTTGCTATTGGGGTTGTATGCTGGGTTAATTCTTACTTCCCTTGTTTGTTCTTTTGATTGCACACCTGTGTTCTTGTCAGGTGCATGTTGGATCCATGCATCAACAACCATGCTGGACCACTGCTTGTCACCTGTTCATCAAAGATGATGGACCCGGGATTCGGGCCGTGCGCAAGATGACCACCACTGAAGTTCGACATACACAAAGAAACAGCATGCAGTGTGCTAGAAAGTGAAACTAGACCCTGAAAGCAATGATAGTGATGATCTGTTTTAACAACCACCCAGCCTGGAACCAGGACAAGCGCGACTGCAGTCACCGAAAGGCCCGGCTACCCAGGACACAGGCCCTTCCTTGGAGATATGCAGGGTAGACTACGCGTTGCGATGCATAAAATGAATAAAAAATGTCAGATATGCAGATGGAAAGATGGATGCATGCATGGATGGGTAGATAGATAGGTAGATAGCTAGCTAGCTAGCTAGCTAGATAGATAGACAGACAGATAGATAGATAGATAGATACACAGATAGATACATAGCTAGATAGGTAGATAGACAGATAGATACACAGATAGATACATAGCTAGATAGGTAGATAGACAGATAGACAGATAGACAGACAGATAGATAGATAGATAGATGGATGGATGGATGGATAGATAGATAGACAGACAGATAGATAGATAGATAGGCGGACAAATAGATAGGCGGACAGATAAATAGACACATAGATAGATAGATAGATAGATAGATAGATAGATAGATAGATAGATAGATAGATAGATAGACAGATAGATAGATAGATAGATAGACAGAGGTTGGTAAATAAATTGGCATGGTTGCGTGAATGATAGCGTGTCGGCCAAGTGTAGATGAGGACATGTTGCGCATGGCGCCTCTGGGAGAACGGGTCTTCAGGGTGAGATGACTCAAATCCGAGGACCCTGGTCTGTACCGAAACCAAGCGTCAAAGGAGTTGCTCAGCATCGATTTGGAACGATACCTGAGAAAAAGGATCAGGACTGAATGACCATGTCCAATTACATGCTCACGGTCATGTGTCCATCTACATTCAAAAAAACACACAGTATCAGGGCTGCTACAATTTTTAGCCTTGTCACAATCATTTACCTATGGGTTGGAGATGGTTGGGGCAACCAGCAAAACCATTGCTACGCACCTTGCGGCGTGAGATACGTGACGCCGGGATACTGTATGAAGACATTGCCTCCTGTCTTTGGGCAATCTTCATTCGTGGAACAGTTTCCGGAAATATCCTGATCTCCTTGACATTCAGGCTCTTCAGGCAGGGGCTTTGCTGCTTTGCTTCACAACGGCAATGTGGTAGATAGTACTAGATACTAGATACTGGATGCTACAAGCATTCAAACGTTTGATGGCTGGAAGCGAATCCGAAACCACGCAAGCCATAGATTTTCATACCCTCGGAAAGCCATCGACAGGGACATCTAAATCGTCCTGCTGCATGCAGAAGTTGAATTGAAAACAGGATGCGGACCTTAGATTCGGCCAAACCATGGGCTGAGCTGTCGGAACCGAATACGGTGTCAATACTGAAGACATTTCACCGACCAGGGACTGCAATCCATCAACTATGTACATGATGGGGCTAATCCAGTAGTTATATGTGCACATACAGTATACACATACGTGCACATAGGCATATACATATAAACACGTACATACAACTCGGAATACTCCAAGTGTTGCGATACCCGCGTGTGACAGGCCCATATGTAGAGATAAATATACAAATACGTATCCGTATACATATACGTCATACATATGCGGTTACTTGATCATACGTGTACATGAACTCCAATACAGCGCACAAAGACTCTCACCCAAACTGTATGTATTCCTGGAGGATTGTGATGGTGAAAGAAGCACTGTCCCCGACAACAGCATACTTTCACACTAAATTTCACACCCATCAACGATTTATGTCATGATTGCCATCAAAGAACAAGCCTCATCATCGGGAACTGAAGCAAGGCTTTGTACGGTTGCGTGAAGAATCGTGCTGATCGTTCAAAAATGCGGCTGCGGCAAGCGCAAGCAGGATATACACATTGCTCCTCGTTACTGGTAGTGGGCTATCGTCATGCTGGAACCCATGGGATCCCCAGCTTGGCGCATGCAATTAGCATCCATCAATATCCGTCATTATCTATGCCACATTATGTGTATGTATAAATATGGTTCACGGATATCAGACAGCAACTACCTACAAGATCTGTTGATGTGATGTTCCTGCTCATGTTTTGCTCCAACTGCAAGCAGGTCAGTTCTCTTTTCCACGCGCGCCACGCAGACATGAAATTGTGTCTCCGCATAATGTTACCTTAGTAGCAGTAGTATATACAGCCACAAGCCTATCAGCCACAAGACGTGTAAGGGAGCTAGCTGAATTCGTGGGGAAGTAAGAAAAAGTCACCTGCAGAATGAAGAGCTTTCGCCCTGGAATCCTTGACCGCTTGATACAGTATATGAAGTAAGCCACAGCAGTTGGTAAAGGTTCTGCGAGTCATCTCTGCTCCAACCATTTTCCTCATTCCCGAAAACGCTGAAGACTAACTGCAAACATCTGCAAACATGTCATGACATGTCTGTACGCATTTACACAACCGAAAAAATCAACAACACATTTAACAACCACAGCAAAGTACCTCTCAACCTGAGATTAACTCTGATCTCGGCAGGGGCATGCCATGCCTCGATTGTACTGGCAGCTACCAGGTTCGGAATAAACTAAAATGATTCGCCACAGTGAAATAAGGCCACCAATCGCCGATCGCACCTTCTCCGACCACCATGATTCCCCTATTAGGAAAACATCATGTCCAGAAGTTTGGTCCATGTCTCTCTCGTAAGACTGGATCCATTTCCTCGTCGCTGCATCGAGGGTCGTTGGGCACCTCCAAAGTCAGCGATGGTAGCAACTAGTAACTGCACCAAATGCTGATAACTCACGTCCGATAATTGGAAGATAGCCCAAACGATTGGTTTCCGCCAGAAAAGATCTGAAAATATCCAAAGTGTATCAAATATAGATTGCAGATGATTGTAGATTGGTGGATCTGGGCTGAAAATCTCCCCATGTCAAAGCGAAAGATACAGGGACTTGGCAGCATCACCCAGGCACCAAAGATTGGAAGATGCCGTTGGACTGCAGGCTTGCCCTGAATTATGTCACAAATGGTTCTGACGGTGAAATTTGGGAGGTGCTGCTGGCCACGTCTTGTTTTTTCAGGCGTGTTCTATCCTGGAATCCAATCCGGTGTCCATGACACGAACATAAGTAAACCATGCTCCCATGGACAGAGAATTTGGGAAACGTCAGGTAATACCAATGTCAATGTGTGCGAACACCTTGGAAAACCAAATGTCAGTTGCCCAAAGGTCGCTCAACATGTCCATGTCTCAGGTTCTTGTGGATACTCAACACGTCTCCAGCTATTGTGAACCCCTTTTGGGTGAGGGTTGATGTCATGCATGCTCTTCTACATTTTGCTTGCTGTGATGCCATTGCTTACGCCATCCGCACCATCTTGGCAACATAGACAGGGCTCAGCAGCAGCTGTAGACCGCCGCCACCAAAAACGAACATCTGCACACTGCCCAGAACATAGGCATTCCTCAAGATGTCGCAACATGTGACAATTTGGAGCGTGAAACTTTGGTTGCGTTTCAGCGGATCTGGATTTGGTTTCTGGACCGGACTTTATACACAATGGGCCACCACACGCTCGTGCCCGTCATGAACTACCATTTACCACACACACACACACATGCTCAGAAACATCTTATCGAATTACTGATGTGGAATGCATCGGACGTGCAAAGACAACACAGTTAAACCTAACAGGAGAAATGAAAAAAAAACATATATATATATATATGACTACGGTGGCCACCAGCTGCGACTTATAATTGCGCCCAGGTGCACCACCGAAGTCCTGCAGGTACGTTTACACGGGTCCCGGGGAGGTGTCTTCGTTGGTCACCGACCCCCCCGGGACCCCGGTGACCCCCTGCAATTTATAGAAGTTTTACATCTATTCAGATGGTACACACACACGCCCCGCCACAGCGGGGCAGATGAGATGACGATGAAAATGACATGAAAGTGAAGATGAAATGACAGTTACCTAACCAGGACGCGAAGAGGGGAACGCAAGAGAAGAGGGAAAGAGATGGAAAGAGCAAACACCAACACGACACACCTAGCCCGAAACGGGCAAAACCCCGAAAAGGCAAGGAAAAAGAAAAAGCGAAGGCCGACAGACACGCAACCAGACCAGCGGAGGAGGGGGAGGACGGAAGCGCCTGAACCAACCTAACAAAGCGAAACCTAAGCCTACCTCGGCACGCGCAGGACCCAACCTACCTGAAGGGAGGAGAACGCAGAAACACATGAGAAAGGGGACCCATGGGGACTAGTTAGAGAAATGATGCAACCACAACTCATGCAAGATTCGTGATAAGGCTCAAAGGCCCTCGGCATTCATTTCACAACCCTCTGGACGGCTTACGTGTTCAACCCCTGAATTACGTGCACAGTTTCAACCTCACCAACGACCATAAAAGAAAGGAGAACCACACCTAAAGCATGTCCTGAGACCTCCAAATGAATCCATGTCATGATGCATCTTGTCTGTCAAGCTCTCGAGCAACGTTGAAAAAACGAATGTTAACGTGGCAACCAGCTATGTGGATCAGTGGCATAGAAAAGGCGATGCCAGGCACAGCGGCACACTGTTCAACACATCGACATCGACAGGTGAAACCTGGAAAAAAGGCTGGCTGTTTCACTTTACTTAGACGAATTACTAATTCAAAAGTGTAAATTCCGACATCGTTTTACCGTCAATTTTTAGCCTAGAAAGGCTTTCCCCGAAGGGATCATACCACCTTGTCGGACAACGGTATGAGTGACACACTTGCTCAGAAACATCTTATCGAATTACTGATGTGGAATGCATCGGACGTGCAAAGACAACACAGTTAAACCTAACAGGAGAAATGAAAAAAAAACATATATATATATATATGACTACGGTGGCCACCAGCTGCGACTTATAATTGCGCCCAGGTGCACCACCGAAGTCCTGCAGGTACGTTTACACGGGTCCCGGGGAGGTGTCTTCGTTGGTCACCGACCCCCCCGGGACCCCGGTGACCCCCTGCAATTTATAGAAGTTTTACATCTATTCAGATGGTACACACACACAAACAAACGAAGGAATATCCATAAAAAAATGATGAGAAATCAAAGGGCCGGATAACCCCACATGTCAACTTCTTCCAATAAGTAGCACAAGAAAGGTGAAGACGGGATGGGAAAGGCAGGAAAGAGAAAGGAGATGGTGGAAGACAGATCGAGTGAGGGAGTTCTGTGTGAGAAGGTTGCGTGTGAGAAGGGTTTACACTATGGATTTGAAAAAGTATGTGTGAGTTCTGTGGATATGGTGGAAGGCAGAATGTGTGAAAGAGGTACGTCTGAGAGAGTTGCGTGTAAGAGATTTTCTTGTGAGAAGGTTGCGTGTGTGAGCAAGTTGTGTGTGAGAAAGTGTGTGTGTGTGAGTTGCGTAGAGATGGTGGAAGACAGATTGTGTGAAAGAGGTACGGATAGTTGTGTGCGAGAGAGCTGTGGGGGTCAGTTGTGTGTGAGAGAGTTGTGTGTGAGAGAGTTGTGTCTGAGGGAAGGTTGTGTGTGAGAGAGTTGTGTGAGTGTGAGAAAAAGTGTGTGTGAGTAGGGTGGAGATGGTGGAAGAGAGATTGTGTGAGAGTGTTGCGTGTGAGAGAGCTGTGTGTGAAAAAATTGTGTGTGAAATCGTTGTGTGGTATGTGTGGCCAAAGACAGTTGCGCCAAGACCATAGAGAGCGGTCTTGGCAACTCCTGGTCTTGGCTGCAAAAGCTTTGTTGCAGACAGACTGCTGCCCGGACAGTCATGAAAACTGACGGTCCATCGCAGGTGTCTGCGGCAGGCAAAGGGTCGCTTTTCCGCACACGCGTCGCAGCAACCACTTGCCACGTAGCGACGGGAGCACGTGCACGATAACGACGAAAAGGCACCCGGCAGCGACACGTCATGACGAGTCACGGGGAGAGACACACAGAAGTAACAACTAGGCAGCGACAGCCGGTGAGGCAAAGCGTAGCGGCTACGCGAAGGGACCTGAGCTCTGTCAGGGCTGCATGATGTACGGACATCCAGTGGCGCAGGAGCACACAGCAAACCATTGCCGCCCATGGCCAGCAATTCAACGGAAACGTTGCACAGACCTCAATGTCAGTGAATGCCACAACATCAACTTTGCTTCTCTTTGATTTAATTTCCCACACAAAGTGAACGGCAATGCCACAGCTTCGGGCTCTGAATTGCCACACTTGCCGTCAGTTGCCACACAAAGTGAAGTCCGATGTCGCCAAGTGCCACGCCTGCCACACAGAATGGAGGTCGATGCTTCCAAACGCCACGCCTGCCACACAGACAGCCGCGGCGCCAACGGGAACCAAGCGCGCCACCAGAGCCAGCCCAGTGAAATAAGCGCCACGGCTGCCACAGAATGAAGGTTGATGTCACCAAACGCCACGCCACACAGAATGGAGGTCGATGCTACGCCTACCACACAGACAGCCGCGGCGCCAACAGGAACCAAGCGCGCCGCGGTGTTGATGTCGCCAAGTGCCAGGCCTGTGGTCGATGTCACCAAGTGCCACGCCTGCCACACAGAATGGAGGTCGATGCTTCCAAATGCCACGCCTGCCACACAAACAGCCGCGGCGCAACGGGACCACACAGAATGAAGGTTGATGTCACCAAACGCCGCAGCTGCCACACAGAATGGAGTGAAATAAGTGCCGCGCCTGCCACATAGAATGATGGTCGATATCCCCAAGTGCCATGCCTGCCACACAGATTGGAGGTCGAAGCTTCGAAGTGTGTGAGAGAATTGCTGTTGTGTGTGTGAGTAAGTTGTGTGTGTGAAAGAGTTGTGAGAGAGTTGTTGTGTGCTGTGAGAGAGTTGTGTGAGAGAGTTGTGTGAGAGAGTTGTGTGTGTGTGAGAGAGTTGTGAGTGAGAAAGTTGTGTGACAGAGTTGTGTGTGAAGAGTTGTTGTTGTGTGTGTGTGAGTAGTTCCCCACATCACTGTGTGGGGTTCTTGTTTTTCGCTTGGATCCCGCCGGGGCTCCGCTCCTCCGCCCCCTCCTCCTCCGCTGCCTCCTCCTCACTCACACTCATCACTCCCTCCCTCCCTCACTCCCTCACTCCCTCACTCCCTCACTCCCTCACTCCCTCACTCCCTCACTCCCTCACTCCCTCACTCCCTCACTCCATCACTCCCTCACTCCCTCACTCCCTCGCTCCCTCACTCCTTCACTCCCTCACTCCCCCAGTCCCTCGCTCCCTCGCTCCCTCACTCCCACTCCCTCACTCCCCACTCCACTCCCTCACTCCATCACTCCCTCACTCATGCCCTCAACTCACTCACTCCCTCCCTCCCTCACTCCCTCCCTCCCTCCCTCCCTCCCTCACTCACTCACTCACTTCGCGCGGCAGGCGCAGTACAGAGAGCTTCCTGGCTGCCTTTCGCGTGGCAGGCGCAGTATACACAGAGCCTCCTGGATCGATAACCTGCGGCGCGCGTTCCTGGCTGCCTTTCGCGTGGCCGGCGCAGTACACAGAGCCTCCTGGAGGAGCTGCGGCGTGCGTGGGCGCCGCTGGGCCGCGGCTGGCTTCACGTGGCAGGCGCAGTACAGAGAGCTTCCTGGCTGCCTTTCGCGTGGCCGGCGCAGTACACAAGGAGCTGCGGCGCGCGTGGGCGCCGCTGGGCCGCAGCTGGCTTCGTGTGGCAGGCGCAGTATACAGAGCTTCCTGGCTGCCTTTCGGCCTGCCAGTCCACAGAGCCTCCTGGAGGAGCTGCGGCGCGCGTGGGCGCTGGTGGGCCGGCTTCGCGTAGCAGGCGCAGTACAGAGAGCTTCCTGGCTGCCTTTCGCGTGGCAGGCACAGTACAGCTGCGGCGCGCGTGGGCGCCGGCCGTGAAGCCAGCCTGGCTGCCTTTCGCGTGGCCGGCGCAGTACACAGAGTCTCCTGGAGGAGCTGCGGCGCGCGTGGGCGCCGCTGGGCCGCGGCTGGCTTCGTGTGGCAGGCGCAGTACACACAGCTTCCTGCCTGCCTTTCGCGTGGCAGGCGCAGTCCATAGAGCCTCCTGGAGGAGCTGCGGCGCGCGTGGGCGCCGCTGGGCCGCGGCTGGCTTCGTGTGGCAGGCGCAGTATACAGAGAGCTTCCTGGCTGCCTTTCGCGTGGCATGGCGCAGTACTTATCACATCCCAACTCATCACAGCTCCACTTCTGACAGGTCCACTTCTCATCACAACTCATCACAACTTATCACATCCCAACTCATCACAGTTCCACTTCTCACACCTCACTTCTCACAGCTCCCTTATCACATCACAACTTCTCATTACAACTTATCACAACTTATCCCATCACAGCTCCACTTCTCACACCCCTTCTCACACCTCACTTATCACATCAGAACTCATCACAGCTCCACTTCTCACACCTCCCCGAAGTTCACATTAAAATCTTACATACATAAAGGCTTGACATGTGGGGCTATCCGGTCCTTTTATTGTGTGTGTGAGAGGGTTGTGTGTAAGTAGTGTGAGAGTGAGAGAGTTGTTGTGTGTGAGACGGAAGGCGATGGAAGACGACGGACGGGCCGGGAGTGCACGACAAAAACAAGAACCCCACACAAAGATGTGGGAAACTATAGCCGTACAAACAAGCCACCTTTGTAGGAAGATGTATGAGGCCAGCTAAGGGTCTTTCCATCTCCCATAATCCCAAAGCATGCTAAGTGTCAAAAATCTCTCTCTGGAGATCTGCCGCCCCAATCTCTTGTAAGTTGCTAATAGATGGTCGAGCAGGTGCTCCTGTGAACACCCTGGTGCTGAGCAAGGGTCAAGTGACTCCGCCTCATGATCAAAAACATACATACATCAAGCGATATCAAAGGCTATGAGCATCCATCGCTTCCCGCCACAGCTCTTCCTTTGAAAGGTTTGTGTATGTTGTGTCCTCATGTTCCGTCAGGAAGTCTGGCTCCAAAAAGTGCCAGTTCCAGGCCCACTCTTGGGCGACATTGTTGACGCAGCTTTGTTGCCAGTCAAACCTTAATGGAAAAGCAAGCTGGAACAGTTGGTTTTAGAGGCCTCTGTGAACAGAATCCGCCGACCCCAGCTTTGGCAGTAGCCGGGGTGGCGGATAAGTATTGCTTGGCTGGCTGTAGCTGCGGCAGTCCTTCCGCGTTCGGTGCCTGGGCCGAAATCTTTCTTTTCTTGGCAGTCAGCTGCTGTCACGCCACGGGCCTCCGGCATAATCCCCGGTCCGGCCTTCAGTTGCATGGTGTTTCGGTGTGGCGAGTCCAGCGTTTTTGGCCTCTCCGTGCTGTTTTCGGACGGTGCCTGGGCCCAAATCTTTCGCTTCTTGGCGTTCAGCTGTCACGCCGTGGGCCTGTTGGTTTGGCCCAGGACACTTCCAAAATCTCCCAATCATGCTGGCAACCAACTGCGGTGCTCCTCCCACCGCAAAGCGGGGTCTGCTTCTATAATATTCTATAACTGTTTGGATAATTGTGGGATGCGTCTTCCAACGACAAGATTGGTGAATCTACTTTATTCCCTATCACTGGCTGCAACTGCTGGAATTTGTACTGTGACAGTGACACTACATCACTTGGCAAAGCCAACCACTGGCATGGGCGCACACATATCCAAAACCGGAACCAGATGCTCCAGCAAAAATGCATGATGACACATCGTCACGAACACGCTAAAAAGATATAAAAAGCTGAAAACAGGAGCATCCTCTGCTTCCCAACGGCAATGTCCCAGCAGATCTGGGCATCGATTTCCGCCATGCAACAAACCCATGTGCAACTTCTCTTCAGCTATCCAGTAGAAGGCGTTGTCGGTGGTCAGATCATTGTGACCAAAGGCAGCCTCATTGGCCGCGCTGCCAGGTCTCTACTTTTAAAATGGGTTTGCAATCAAACAAAAGCTCAACCAATCTCATCGTGGAGATGCCCAGATCGCCATCAATTCAAGGGGAAAGCATGACAAACTATTGTTGGATTTGGTGTTAGAACATTTTGAGACAATCCCAACCTTTGGCCACATGCAGACTCTGCATACTCTCTGCAATGCCAATCGGGATCAGCTGAACGTTTACAGAGATGAACATCGACTGTTCATATACATCTTTCAATGCTGAACTGCTGAAACCCGCTGCTTGGACCGATTGCTGAATTGCTGATTAAGGACCATTTCAGGATCTTTTGAAAGCGAGGTGAGAATCTGAGGCATGTCATGGATCAGCTCCAACTCCTGAAAAAACGACTCTGGAATCACGACTCAACAGCAGCAACCGGTAAGGCACGCGGGGAAAATCCAACTGCCAACCCAACTGACCAGGGGCACCTTGCCCATCAACTCGGAAGGGCATTCCCAGGTCATCCACTCTTCATTCACTTTTGTGCCCCTCAGCGTCTTCTGCATTGTGTAGGACAACCCAAAACGACCACTGAGTGCACAAAGAACCCACATCTCTCCTGAGTCGGCTGCGACAGCGAGGCAAATCGTGAGTATGGAAGAATAAGCTTTCATGCACTGTTCATGCACTGTAGCAAAGGCAATCAGTTCAAATAACTTCCTAGCAATCAAACCGCCCACCACAACCCCTTCCCCTTCATGCTTGCCACAGTCTCGATGAGTTTCATGAAACTTCGGCATGTTCCGAACCACCTACTGCACGAGAGAAAATCGCTATGTCAATGATCAAGTGGTCTGTGGATGTCTGCAGAAACCAATTGAATCAAGTGACTTCATCAGGTCATTCCAGTCGATGCAAACATTGCTGGAATGCTTCAATCCGAATGACCTGCCAGATGTCCAGCCTCGTTGTCTGCCCAATAGTTACAGTGAAGTTTTGCACCGTTCTCCACGAAGAGCAACTGCTCCTGCGACCAGACTTGCTGGTCATGACATGGCGCACAGATGTGGTGACTGGTGAATTGATGCGAATTGCAACTCTCAAAGGTCCTCCAAGCTAGCAGCATTGCGAATTCGATGCTTCAAAGGCAAGAAAGGCTTCTGCCCGAAGTTAAGAGCTTCTGTCAGCAAGCAAAATTCACCTGCAGCAATATGCAACCCCCTTGCAGCCTGGTGCAACTGCCCAGCTTTAGAAAACGAAACTTGAGATCTGCGGTGGTCACATCTCTCCTGGCCTGTGAGCTTGTTGAAATCCACGAAAAAACCTGGGCCAATCTATGCTGTCCGCATGTGCTGCTTGAACTTTGAAGATGTTTGAAGTCCGTTGAAAACGCAGGATTATCTGGATGACATGCAGGTGACTCGGGAACACCAAACTTTCAGGACGGTTTAAATGTGTAGAGCTGCCTCTGCAAGTTCTGCCAAGCTTTGATGGGCCCGGCACAACCTTCACCAAGTCCGGCTCTTAATCCACCCAACAATAGGAAAGTCCAAGGTTCATTTTGGCGTCTTGAGAAACTCACCCACTTTCTCCGCCAGATGATGATAGAACAGCGCCTCGTCGAATCAAGATGTTTAAACTGGATAGCCAGTTAGCCTTGTTAGCCTTCGACTCCGAGATGTAGGCACTTGAAGATCTGTGATCTGGTGCATTTCTCGGTCGCTGGCTTTGATGCATTTCCAAACCCTCAGCGACAGGGAAATGTGCCAACCAAACTTGGGCCCCACACCTCGCATAGGCAAATTTCCGAAGTTGCAACTAACAGTCGCATGGCGCCGATTTTCTGTAGATTGAACCTGATTGAATATGAAATGTCAGACATCTTCAGGAAAAACAAAGATGTGAATATGAATGTCTGTAGCCTAGAAAATCGAACAAATCTTTCACTACCACTTCAACTGGCAAACGAAAAACAATAGGCCCATAGGCGTTGCAATAAATCACCCAAGGCACTTCACAAAGAAGGTCTTTGGCAGGTCAACTTCATCAGAATATGTCACTTCCAGAAGAGCTTTGTCTCCTTTGACCCCGTCTTTGATGTCTTGACGCAGGTTTCGCACACTCGTCACTGCCACGCTAGGTGGCAAATGCTGGCCATGCCGAAGCATCTTGGTCAGCAATCTTGGGCCCTGGGAAGATGTCAATTCTTCGACCTTGGGTCCAAGAATGCAGTGGCAGACTCGACAACCCTGTCTGACATGGAATTCCCAGACAAATTGGCTGGAGAAATGCAATGTCGATATGCAGATTCGCCTTGATTCGACACACTCAAGCTTAAACAACCTAGAATTCGAGTGCGAGTACCATGCAGAGCAGCAACACACAACTTAGGAGGGCGCAGTTCCACTTATTATATACAACCGCAAGCGCCAATGAAGGGGCCCAGCATGAGCGAAGCGATAAGAAACACTGCGAGGTAGTGATTTCTTTGTGTCACGAACAATTTGGTTGGTCTGAGATCTATCGATGATAGGTGGGATTGGTGGTATACGCCCAATGCATTCAATTTGTCTTTTCTTTGTTCCAAGATAATTTTCCCTTAGAACATCTCCTAGTGACCATTGCTAAGCGATTGTGGATCTCTAATTTGTTGTCGATGGTATTTGATTAAAAAAAAAGTACCTAGGTATACTGCTTGGCGTTGACGTGGCACTGTTGAGCCGTCTTGGTATTTAGTTGTTGATGTCTTTTGATTGGAGGTGAGATTCGCACATTTTTGATGATTTAAGCTCATGTTGTAACACGCCGATTCTTGTTCGATTTCTTTCAGCAATCGGTTTTATGAAGCCGTGTGATCTCCGAAGATAAGTGTGTCGTCGGCGTGCAATACCTCAGCAAGGTATATGCCTTGAATAGATTCCAGTTGTTTTGGTGTCTTTAGGCGTGTTTTACACCTGCAAACATTTTATAACTGACATTATCAATGTAAAAAGGTATAAGGGGAGAACGCGCAACCTGTCTGATACCTGTTGTATGAAAAAGTCTGAGGTGCCTTCATCCGAGCTTATCTTTAATGTTGGGCATAGATATCACTGGTGATATTGTAGATGTTGGGATTTCGAGTCTTTCCCAATCCAACAGTACTATGGATAGGTTTACCTGAAACTTCTGGCTTTGCAAGCGCCTGGCAAGGAAAATAGTACTTTTCTGAAACCATACTGCGTTTTCAATGAGAAGTTGCCCAATCCTTCTGCTAATCGATTTTTGATCATTGCTGCTAGTAGTTTGTAGAATGTGTGTAATTAGAAGAGAAATTGCTCGGAAACTTTCTAGTTTACTGGAGTCGCCTTTTTTGAAAATAAAGACTACCGAGGCTTCATGCAGTGAGTCTTCCAATTTTCCGGTGCAATCTGTTTCTGTCACCTGCGTAAATATGGTCTATCCAAACTTATGGTCGTATTTGCCATGGTTATCTATCATCTATGATTCTGGTTGTCTCGTCGTGTTATCTCCATTAATAACCCCAACCGCACCCCCAAGAACAGCCAATTGGAACAAGCTGCTGAAATGGGAAACCAAACTCCCGTGAGCTGTCCGGGACTTCTTCTGCCTGTGGGGAACAACTGCAGACATCACGGATAGAACGGATAGAGGGCTTCTCTCAAGCTTGACATGTTCATCCACCATGCCCACGCCAAACACTCAGGGCCACAGCATGTGGTGCATCTCTGACCTTTGCAAAGCAGCATCTTGAAGACTGTCAGGAGCAGAGCGCCCACAGCCGTCCCATGAAGGCAATAACAAAGACTGGTCGCCTGGGACATGTTTGTGAAAACAGCCTGTTCAACAAGAACAAGCCCAAAGGTAAGAATCTCAAGCAATGCAATCAGGATAACTTGCAGCATCAAATGCGAATGCATGGGACATGCTTAAGACACATCTTACAAGATTTGCTTGTTCCAACTGGATTTGAAACTGAAAATCCACATAAGCCAAACGACAAATGCCAGAAGAAAAACCACCGCCACAGCCAGCTCCATGGCAGAAGGCTGTGGAGCAACCGCAGATACTTTGGCGGATTTTGACGGTAGATTTGAGTTCCCTGAAATCTGGGGCAAGGAGTGACTAAATGGCTCAGACTCAATTCTCGGGCCTTTTGGATCCTTTTGGGTGTTTTCAGACTACTTCCTAAAAATGACCCGGTGGTCATCTTCGTTGAGGAGGAAACAGCACTGACAAGTCGGATTTGGTAAGAGTATGTCGATGAATCTGTTCACTCATTGTTGCGCGTGTCTGCGTCAGTGAACTTGAAGCCGACCGCAACTGGTGCAAACTCCCTCCTCATCGGGCGAGAACCAGTGCTGATGATGGACGTATGCGATGGAATATGAATACTCCAGAAATTCTTTGGAAGTCAACCCAAATTTCAGAAAATCAAAATTCCAAGACTTCCCCAGGGCCATCCGAAAAGGACAGAATACCGCACCCTGTCGACACTCATCCCATGCCTCTGTAGCAAACCTTGGAAGATACGGATCAGGGGCCAATGGGGAAGGCTCTGGAATGCAGAGCTGGAAGTTCAAACGCCACATGTTTTCCAACTGAAAAAGAAGTTGCCTCTATCCAATTATTCATAACATTTCATAACCAATATATATACCAAATACAAGGCTTGTCATGTCATATGAACTGCAATAAAATGCAAACCTGTAGAACTAGCTAGGCGACTCCACCAAGATCGGTAGCGGGGCTGTTTTCGAGGACCCTTACAGTGTTTTAGGTTCTTTTTGACATTTTTCGGGGTTGGGGGGTTCGGGTGGATTTTGCAGATGGATCAATGCTTGACACAACTGGTGGCACTTGCTCCATGGCTGGTGGAAGCATGGCAAGCATTGGCAAGCAATTGGTGCTTCCAAAAAAACCAACAGATCGAAACTACAAGCCATGCACAAATATCCACAGCCGAGGTAGTGCGCGACCTCTTGAAGCGGCAATGCTCCGATCTTCAAGTGGCATGGCTAGAACTACCCATTGACTACATGTTAACCCATGTTCTGCAGGAAAGGCGGCTGCATCCAGAACGCAGAACAATTCTTTTGTGAAGTCAATGGGTGTTTCCGGTGGATACCAGTAGTACCGACAAGGCGGTGGTGGAAGTTTCAAAGATAGGAAACCTATAGGAAAGACTGGTTGTTGTGCATCATGGATGGCAGAGCGAACCACCTGATGGATCGAAAGGTGGTTGGAGTGTCGGGCTATCTATCTGTCTATCTTTCTATCGGTCTATCTATCTATCTGTCTATCTCTCTCTCTCTCTCTGGCTATCTGTCTATCTATCTATCGGTTTTAGAGTGACGTCGCAGTGAGGTTGTTATAAATTTGTCCCTATAATGATATTGGATAATTATCCCGAGTCACCAGCGAGCGCTTTTGGGCTTTTGGTGCTGTGGCACTATTCTGTACTAGCCATCCAGGAAAGCTTTGGGCCGATGGCCCAGCTGCAAAGGGTGTGGGCTCCTGAGCTCTTTCACAAATCCATCCACCAGTTGAGGTAGGGTCCATGTGAAAGGTCACAAGACTGCACGAGCTGCGGCCAAAAAAGTGCCGCAACATGCTGCTGAACGAATTGGTGGGGCGCCTGTGAGCGACGTGGGAAGCTCGAACAAGCGACAGGTATTTGGAAAAACAAGGTCAAAACAGTGAGGATGAATGTGGCTCATGTCAAATGCTTGTAAAATAGCTCCCCAAACTGCAAAAATCATACGTAAACATGCTATGTATGTGCATATGTATGTATTATAATGATCATATTTGTCCCAGAAAGGCGGTTGGCGTCGCCTTAAATCATCTTTCCACCTGGCTTGAGAGACGTCCACGTGCACGTCTAAGGCACCGTGTCTCAGTGTCCACCAGCTCTATCTGTCCAGGCACACTGGTCAAGAGGAAAATACGTGACACCATGCTGGGCGAGAAATGGATATGCGTCAAAATTTGGATATCCCGAAAGAAGGAATGGTTAAAGCAACAAAAAATTGACCATTCAACCAACAAATTTTTGGCTTTACGAACCAGAATTGGACTTTATTTACCCCAAAATAGGGTGGTTGAAGCAGCCACACTGCAAAACATTGGCCTTGCTAAATGACAAAAACACGGATGGATACTTTAACACCGAAAATGAGCAACAGCTGTCCTTGCCAGGACTGGAAAATTTGACCCATACCCTAGTGGAGCATGGCCGGGAAACTTCCAGAAAAGTACAGGATATCAATGCCGGGAGATCAGCTAGATGCCTTTGCACGGACGCCAATCTACCAAATCACCCGGCATCACCTCTTACTGGCCATTCATCAAAATGAGGACAGTACTGACTTGTTCGTGCTTATACGTGTATATATATAATTATACATACAATATTATATAGAATACAAGAGCTACTTAAATAACCTAACATACATCCCTGCCCAAGTATTTATGTCCTTCGGAATTAAAAGTTCCTTACAGGCATTTTAGAGAGGATCTCATGTATGTATATATATATACTATATATATACAGAATTATACGGACATTATGTCTTGAAGAGCTCATATCTGCATATCTTAAAGTCCTACAGTACCTCACTAGATCCACAAACGCGTTCCGCACCCTATGAATGGCCGAAGTTCAGGATGAAGCAACCTCGTCGCTGTCATCTCACTCAGCGCTCTCAAAATGGGCGCCGCTATACATGGAGGAAGTTCCTTGTCTAAAAATTCCGCATTCGGGCATGCACCAGAACCTGGACCTCTAAACATTAAATGGCCGTGGGGTGGCCATCCATATGGCCACCAGGTTGCCGACTGCCGACTCTTTAAACATTCAAACTGGCCTCAGAATGGGGCCTCTCAGGGACCCCTTCAGGTTGCGCGCCGTGCTGTCCCCAGCTGTGGCAGCGCAGATCATTTGCAGTTCCCGCATGCAAAATGCTTTGACAGAGCTCTCTTGTCTTTGCGTCCCCGGGAACGTCAGCGTTAGCCAACATTTGCGTTCCAAAGGACGGCAAAGGATCGAAAAGATCCAAAAACTCTCAAAGTTCCAACTGATAGGATCGCTGATCACTGATCAAAAGAATCTGCTCGCTGTCGGAAGGTGCAACATGCACGCAGGAAATTCTCATAGACGCCTCGGCTTATTCTTGAAGATCCATCTGGGCCAAACATGGAACGGTGGTTCTATCAGTGCTTCATATCGTTTAATCATGTTTCATTCCCCTTGGGTTGTTTGAAGTTTCTGATATGATCTTGCAGGAATCTGAAGAACATGTTATTATGTTGAAGCAATTCAAATGAAACCTAGCTATCAAGGGATGTTAATCGTATGCTGCGTGTCAATCAGCTCCGTTTCGAGGGACAGGTGACATTGGCCTTTGCTTTAGTTCATCTCTTCTTTTCGGCAGAGTGGAACCACCACACAGAATGAGGCAAGGGGCGTTTGCAGCCAGGGTAGTCTCCCAACATGCGTTCCTCAGAGCACAGGAACCCAGGAACGCATGAGAACGAGTGCTCGACTGCACCCAAGCCATTCTGCTAGTTGATTGTCAAGAGGTCTCAAAGGGTTCACAAACCTTCAGCCCTAGTCCCAGATCAACGCATATGGCAGGCCCAAGCTTCAGGATGAAACTGCAAGCCCACCAGATAGTTTCCGTTCTCAGGATCATACTTCTCATCATAGAAGGCCTGGTTGGTGTTCATCCCCCCGATTCAACAGGCAACACTCCAGGGCAAACACCAGCAGGTGGGTATGGATCAAAAGTAAGCACTGGGGACCACTATTCTTTTGGCCGTGTTTCTGACATTGAAGGACCCATAGGTCGACAGCTTTGAATCTGTCCGGCAACACCAAAATATCATTAGAAAGTTCTTAGAAAGGAGCTGACAAATGCGCGTAGTAAATCTACTGAAGGTGGATACTATCACAGTCACATACAGTCCGCTGGACGGGACAGTGTTTGCAAAAAGGCGTATCAACCTTATCCAACCTTTGCCAATGATCAAGCACCCACAAAACACTAATGGATCAGTCAGCCATTGGGCCGATGAGTCAAAACCCCCAGTACCCTGTGAACATCCCAAAGATACTCAGAATATAGCAGATCGTGGGCAATCTTGGCCCAATTTTGAGGGGTACTTGATACTCACCCCATACCCATTTCAGTGTGTCCTAAAACAGGTCAACACCAACATACCATAACATACCTGGTTGGTGGTTTCCCTACCCCTCTGAAAAATGATGGACTTCGTCAGTTGGGATGATGATTCCATTCCCAACTGTTTCTGGAAAATCATCCATTCATGCTCCAGTCACCACCAACCAGCATACCCATGCCATCCCATGCCAACAAGTTTGTCAGTTTCTCAGTTTCCCCAGTTTCCAGGCGCCACGAAAAAAAACTCGCCCGCCTCGGTGATGCCATCAGGGGCACACGCCATCTCCAGGAGCCCCTTGCCCAACTCCCTGGAGCCCTGGGATTTCATGGCACCGCTCCAGCCATATGGTGTTTTAAGATCTTTTAATGGGATTTAATGGGATTTAATGGGATTTAATGGGATTTAATGGGATTTAATGGCATTTAGTCTGATTTGCAAGAATTCATGGATTTCATGTTTTTAAAACCTTTTAAAGCTGCCAAGAACAAATCATTGATACACAGATTGTTTAGTGGATTTAATGGCTTCCTGATGGTTGGTTAATGGTTGCTATATAAATGGATGTGTGTCATGGTTCTGTTAAATGGGTTTGCTGAATGGTTTGGTTGATGGTTGTTGAACAGGTTTGTTAATGATTGGTTCGTGGCTTTTTGTGCCGTTTTATTGCCTTTAGATGCTTTTAGTGGTTCTTTCAGAGTCGTTTTGAATATGATGTTATTCATTAGTGTATAAAACTGAACAGAGATGAACTGTGTTTTTGTTTGTTTTTGTCATAGATTGCTTTATATAAAATTTCCAGTGAATGATATATTGGGGTTCTGTTTTTACCAGTACAGACTGAATTCTGCAAATATTCCTTCGATTCCGGGAAGGTTTGGAGGTTATAGAGATAAAGATGGTTCTAGTGTTGGTAGTTCATTCCTTCCCGCCGCCGGTTAAGTGGTGGTAAGATGTGGTACAGTAAGTGGTGCTTTTAAAAAACTCAAGCAACTGCTGGGTGAGCAAGCTCACATTGTCACCAAATTACAATATTGGTCTTTCCTTGCGACAGAAGATTGAAACTGGATATGAATCCACTCCATAGAGTCACGTTTCAGACAGAGAGAGAGAGAGAGAGAGTGTGTGTGTGTGTGAGCTTACATGAGTTTACTAACTGGTCCCAGCAACTGGTTCCATCCTTAAAATCATGATACATAGGACTCCGCGGAACACGGGTGAGAGTTGCCTGGTGATGATAGGAGTTGACCATGAGCTCACCTCCTTCGTCTCCCAGGGTATCTTGAAACCTTAGCCATCTTAGCTCCAAGACGCTGAAGCTGGACATGCTACAAGTATAACCTGGTAGTAGCGTGGAGGTACAGTAGTTACCCTCTGGTAATTTAACATAGCTATTGAAAATGGCCATTTATAGTGGATTTTCCCATTAAAAATGGTGATTTTCCATAGTTATGTTAGTTTACCAGAGGGTAGTCAATGGAAAATGCTGGAACACTGTCATTGCAGGAGATGGTTGACAATCGCCAAATGTATCATGGGACATATGGTTGTGTCTGAAAATATGGCACCCCAAAATCACATAGAAATATCATCATCTTACCGTCTTACCCATGGAAAATGCACATCTTAGGGTATACCGGTATACCACATCTTCAAACACACCATTTTTTTATATGGATTATATAGATAAGTCCCATTATGTCATTGTCCCACTCATATCCACACAAAATCTATCCCTCAAGGTATCCCAGTATCCACTAATTCTATGTTTCATGGCGCCCATTGTGATGCTCAACCCGACTCAACCCATGGAATTTCCATAGAATTTCCCATGAATTTGGGAATGTCCATGGGAATTTCCCATGAACTGATGCCTATTTCAGCTGGTGGATCCGATGGAATGCCACGGCAAACTCCTGAGGTCTCCACCATGTCGCCAGTGGTGTGTGCTTGTGTACGGCGATGGGATGACGGAAGCTGCCGAACGACCGTGGAGAGGTGATATCAAAAGGGGGAAATGGAAAAGAACTGTCTGTACTATGACTATAACTATCTATAACTGACTATAACTGACTACAACCTTAATATGATTTAATTAATGTCTTAGTCTCTTAGTCTATAAAAATCGAATAATACTTCTTGAATCTTCTTGATGTCCTGTCTTCGAACAAAGATCTGAAAAAAACAGCTTCAGCAGCTCCAACCAGGTGCCCGGTACAGGCCCGGTATCCACCTGTCGTATGTAGGCCCATTGGGTTGCAAGTGTTGAATGGTTGTGCCAGTTTCGGCCGCCAGATCTCCATAAAGTGTGCCGCCTCTCAAGACCTGGCACCAAAAATCCCACGATTTGGCCTGGTACCAAACAACTACAGATACGTCCCCAATGGAATCTTGGTGCCAAGTTATTGAATCCAACTGAATCATATTGTTTTATATTGTTTTATATTCGGCCACCATATTTGATCATGTCAAAATATGTCAAAATCATGTCTGGTCATATGTTACCATATTTAATCTAGCCATGAGTTTGACACCTCTGTGACAACACAAGACTCCTGCGTTTGTACAGCTCGAATTGGGCCAGGTGGCATTCAACATCTGAGATCCACGGCAAAGACCCAGGATGGGACATCCCGACATGAGAGCAAAGCCTCGAAAGGTCGCACCATGCCATGATGGAAAAAGGATTGATACCTGTGATGTGAAGATCTTATCGCCCAACTAAGATCAGGTGTTCCAACCAAAATTTGCTGCCATCTCCGCCCAAAGGGAAAACAAGACAAACCAAGCAGCGCATCAAAGCGCATTCCAGCTCGTCTTTCGAGATGTCGAATTCAGTGTCGCTGGCAAACCTGACACTTGTTGAATCTCATTATCATTGCCTCCCAACTCCTTGACAGAACTAAACTGTCTGTTCTTAGGCCAGACTTTGATGGCCCACTGATGCAACGCGATGCGTCGCGAAAACGAATCCAACTAGCCGAGATGCTTTTCTGCAGCCTCTCCTTCCAATCTTTGGGGGATCGAACATTGGTACTTTCCTGGGCAAACCCCACGCCAAGCCGCCAAGCCCAGTGCTCAGTGGCTTTAATTAGTGGCTTTTTCGGTTCGGTTAACGTAACGCCCGCCAGAACTTTTCATATCTTTTCACCGAAACAAGTGGCCTTCACTAGAGACGCAAACAATCAAAACCAATGCCAAAGGATTCAAAAGCCAGAACAAATGATATTTGATGAATTTTCATGACATGTTTCTAGCAAGATCTTATTCCTCCTATCACCGCTTGCCGAAAACTTCCAGCTTGGACGTTGGGTCCCAGAGGCTCAGGACATCATCGGAAATGTCATTGCCTTCCACAACTAACAATCCTCGGCCGCGCATTTCAACAAGGGACCCCAGGTCCGCGTGAAAAAGCCTTCTGTCCAATGTTCCAAACATGCAAATACAATCAAATACTGGTAATATCATGTAATATCTGGCAATTACCATCCAAGATCGATGTTCATGCATGGTCATGCCATTCTCATTCCTTCCAAGGGCAAATCTTTAGTTGCTCCCCCCTAGACTGTGAGGCAAAACGTCCTGGGTGTAATGGCCGCAACCCGGCACTGGCTGACCCTCTGTTACTCTGCACGGTTCTGTGTTGACAAGATGCCATCCATTGGCAGATATTCCAGGAGACTGCTAAGTGTGCCCACCGTCCTTGGCACCATGATTGGTGCCCCCCCAAATTCCTGCAGCGCAAGAAAGAGCAGCACACAACGACTTTGCAGGAGCGAAAGAAGTAGTCACTGCTGAAGACCCTCAGCTCTGTTTTTGTTTCGCAAGCGCCACAAAGAACCGAACGGATTCAGTATTCGTAAGAACACCTGAACATCCTGACGAACGTCCTGAATGAGGTCCAGGTGATACTCCCCCACAAAGTCGACATATTTGTCCTTGCGATTGTACCTGGCATTTCCAGGGCAGGAGGCAAGTCACAAGTCAACTCTGCGCGACGCATGTGACGCCTTCGAGCCACACACAGGACGCGGGCAGGTCGCAACATAGGTGCCTGCCATGTGAAATTTGGGCACAGCTAGCAGCAGCCAGCAACCCTGGCATTTCGTGATTTAGTCTGACCACCAAGCCATACCAAGGTAATACCAAGGTAATACCAAGGTAATACCAAGGTGCTGGAGGGGAATATAGTGTTCCCCAAAACAGGGCTGCGTCATGTGCCGCGCGCGAGGAGTGCACCTCAGGCCCAAGTGAGTTTTCTTTGCGGCAAAACTGGCTGCAGTTAGCAGCTAGCAATTCTGACCTGAGTAACCATTAAATAAAAACATAATCATCACCCATCATTGTCAACCATTAATTATCACTATCAAATACTATCAACATCTATCAGTAACCACTAGTATCATTGTCAACCATAAATTCTCACTATCAACCATATGTCATTATTTGATCATGATTAACCAATATCAACCATTATTATCACCGAGGAGTTGCTCAAAGCTGCCTGCGCAAAACTTGCATCGTGCAGGTGAACTAGATACTTTGTGTTGAAAAGCTCCCAAAAATTGAGACATCTTAGAACTGCGTCCCCATTGATTTTCGGATTCCTTTGAACAATCCTTTTCTCACGTTTCGAAACTCAGCGTTCAGCACTTCCTCTGAATCCCTGAGGCCCCTGGCGGAGGTCCATGGCCTGGATACCCCAATTGCTGCATGATTTAGGTGTGATTTTGGATATATTGGAGATCTTGGAATGAACTTGACACAGTCTGGCATTGGAATCGTCTGAGCATCTCTTAAGACCGGAGTTGAGCTCCCAGCTTCACCAGCGCATCAACCGTCGACTTCTCCCCTGGAGAAGAGGCGAATTACATCGAATTACCATGTTCGTTCAGTCAGTATGAATTACGTGATCTTGATCTGTAGTAATCCATGGTAATCCATAGTATTTTGGCTATTTGGCGGTTGATGATCAGCTTCATGACAGCTGCACCTCCAGAACCCTCCTCTTCATCTGCCATGTGATGTAGTGAGGAAATGCCTGCAGTCGCAGTCCGCTGCCCCTCCCATCTGCTGGATATTGGTCCCAAGGTCATGTTGAAGCATACCCATCTTGGCCAGTCGAAATCTACGAAATGGCTTAAGAAAACTCATGGCCTGTAGTGAAGTTGAAGTCCTTCTCTGTCTCTGCATCACCTCGAGGCGTTTCTATGGACCCAGCAATGTTGGCAAAACGCAGCAGAAATCTCGAATGATACAGACTTCCCAATGGTGGGCCAAGCTGCTGTCCGGTTGTTCCTCTGGCTCCGCCTGCCAACATCAACCAAAACATCAGCCGAGAATCCGTGAAGACTGAAATGACTGAAATCACCACAAGTTTCTTAATGACAGAGTCGGCCAAAGATTTCTCACTGAGCAAGTCAACCAACGCTCACAGCTGGTCAAATTCTTCAGCTCGGAGTCGCCTTGTGCGCGTGCTTCCCAGAGCTCACAAGCCTCAAACTGCATGGAGGATCTAGGTGAAGCAGCAGAACCGCTGATTGAGATAAGGCACTCAGATCATTTCAAATCCACAGTCAGGAGCAGGAGACCGTGACTTGATTGAGGACCAGCTCTTCCAGGCTTCCAAGTGACACAATGGAACTTCCTTCTGCAGCAGACTGAAACCAAGCCCTGCCAAGAAACGTTGCACCCATTTCAATGCGAGTTCGAGTTGCGTCGGTCTCGAACTGGCTTAGCATCCTCAGATTTCGCTTGGTCCCATTGCCACACTGGCCACACTGGCAGGCCCAGACCCATCTGTGGTGCCCACTTCTCCGAAAGACTCTGAGAAAAACTCTGAGAAAAACTCTGGGGTCCGTTTTATCCAGAAAATGGTGGTGAATTGCTTGCTTCTGCATGGGAGCTGCAAGAACATCTTGTTCAGAGCATTGCACTATCATCCAACTGGCTCAAATCCTTACATGTGGCTGAACAACATAATCATATATATATATATATCCATTGCTTTTAAGTTAAGTGAAGAGCAAGCTCCCTGACACCTTTCAGGAACAAGTATTTCTTCTCCCGACTCTGGCGCCAAGAGTCATGAGATCCAAAAGTCAACACGCAGGACACAGCAAAAACTGCTGACCGATTGGAAACAGCTGCAGAGAGATGAGTCCTGCAACTCTCCCTGTCACCGTATAAGAACCGCATATCAAGGTATGACAAGGTGGACCTGTAACTTTCATGTTTTCTACATGTCGCAAGGAGCGAAGACTACGGTCCAATTTGTTTTTGACAGTGGTTCCAAGTTCCAAGCTACTCGCTTCCCGCTAACAACTTGGACCACGGCAGGCTTCGGCCGATGCCGGGAGCTCTTCCCAGCTAGGCATTGATGTCTGACCTGACAAGAGAAATTAGAGTGTAAGCTCTGGCAGATAGGAAAATGAAGTAAAGCACTGTAGATGATTTAGACAACATGGAATTGATACTTTTCCATATATATATATTATTATATACAGTATACATGTTTTTGCTTTATTTTTGTAACATATCCATTTTGCATATTATCCATGGTTTCGACACTTGAGGGACCTTCACCCAATTTCCTGCGGCTGTACTTCTTCACCACTACGTGCGATCAATGATCAGGATCTATACAATCTAAGAAACATAGGACGGACAGGGATCAAGCACTCGTGCTGCTCAGTGTATCTTAGGAAACTCATCAAACGCTGCTTGAGCGTCAAGTCAAGGAGTCTAGCTTGTTCCATAAGATCATCATTGCGACCAGCATTGTTGATGGACAACCTTCTTATCCAATGATCTCGGAATATGTGCGAATTAAAATTCATAGAAACAAAATATGCGTAAGTTTGCAGAAAATGAGCAGAATCCACTCCTAAACCCAACGGTAGACAACACAATGCAAATCTCGCGACGTGGATATGTGCATCCAGAAAAAATATACCTGATCAAGCAAGCTGCCCTCGTTCAAATCAAGTACTCGTGCTGCTCAGTGTATCTTAGGAAACTCATCAAACGCTGCTTGAGCGTCAAGTCAAGGAGTCTAGCTTGTTCCATAAGATCATCATTGCGACCAGCATTGTTGATGGACAACCTTCTTATCCAATGATCTCGGAATATGTGCGAATTAAAAACGATAAAAACAAAAATATGCGTAAGTTTGCAGAAAATGAGCAGAATCCACTCCTAAACCCAACGGTAGACAACACAATGCAAATCTCGCGACGTGGATATGTGCATCCAGAAAAAATATACCTGATCAAGCAAGCTGCCCTCGTTCAAATCAAGTACTCGTGCTGCTCAGTGTATCTTAGGAAACTCATCAAACGCTGCTTGAGCGTCAAGTCAAGGAGTCTAGCTTGTTCCATAAGATCATCATTGCGACCAGCATTGTTGATGGACAACCTTCTTATCCAATGATCCTTGAATATGTGCGAATTAAAAACGATAAAAACAAAAATATGCGTAAGTTTGCAGAAAATGAGCAGAATCCACTCCTAAACCCAACGGTAGACAACACAATGCAAATCTCGCGACTTGGACATGTGTATACCTTGTAAATCTTATTAAGGTCAACTGGCAGGATCGCACTGCATGATTCCACGTATGCAAAGCCGCTAATGCAGTACGCATTGCAGTAACTTATTTTGTCTTTGATGCTGTGGGGGGTTTGCAATATCCTACCTTTTCGCTTGTCCAGCTTTTCAAGCGCTTTAGATGCAAAGTAGTCGATGCCGGTTTGGCGGGGGACCTCGACAGTGTGCCCTTCTTGATGCAGCGTGATCCCTCCATAGACCATGAGCCCTAAGTTCACAGTGTCTTCAGAAATGCATTGGGCTCCAAGCCCGGCAATGTCGAGTTCATGTAGGTGTGCCGGAGTAAGGAAGGCATTCGTAAGAATCTTCGTTTTGGAGCGGCATTTGCAAGGGACCGAAGACAGCTGGCCGAAGAAAGGCGTTTCTCCTCTGAGCATGGACCTATAAGTGGCCCATTCTACAACTAGTGCATGTTCCCCTCTGGCAACTACTAAATGAGGCACTTCATGTGGCATGAGGAAACGAGTGGCAGCCAAGGTGGGAAGTCCATCTTTGGAGGCCCATATTGGTGGCGGGGAGATGTGCTCACATAAAACCATGGTGTTAAAGGGGAGTACGATAATCATCGGTGACGCCCAAACGCCAGCAATGGTGTCCGTCCATCCGGATGCCTGCGGTGTGCCACTTTTTGACGCTTTGGGCAACATATGCTGGCCAGTCTAGGTGCGGGTCAGTACGCCCTACAATGGTCGTGTCATCAACGTAGCCCATCACACTGATAACTCCTGGTAATTGATTTAAGTAAACAAAAATAGGGTCCATCGCTAGGCAGAAGAAAAAGACCGAGGTGGACCGTCCCATGTCCACACCAGAATGGACCGTTCTTGGTGGAAGAAGGCGTCCTTGGACCTTGTGTCGTACCCGTCTGGAGAAGAACATGCGCTGTGCTAGTTGGATGACCCACAAAGGCGCTCCTCGTATGAATAGGAGATGGAGGATCCAATGCGCATTGACGCATCCAAATGCTTTAGCCAAATCCATAAACAGAGCAGCCGTAGGTTCCAGGCTATGGAGTTCAGTTTGGACTCGGATGGCAGCACTTTGCGGCTCTTTAAAATGAGCATTGTTTGCGCAGGGTGAAAAAGGGTGGAGGTATGTTGGAATAAGGTTGCGGCAGCCGTGCCATCCAGTATCCGGTCTAATGTATCAGGCATGCCTAATGGGCAGAAATGGTCCGCCGTTGGTCCTGGGGAGGCCTTTGGTATCCACACCCCCACTTGTGTGGGAGTGGGAGTGCATCCACGCTCGAGTCGGTGGAACTCTGTCTGTATGATATATGTGGTGACACTCCATGCTGCATAGGGTATTCCATCAGGGCCCTGGATAAGATGTCGGGTTATACTTTCAGCGTCAGGCATGTCAAATAAGGGCCAGCGCTCAGATTGCTCTTGGTACACTCTCAGGGTTGAAGACCATTGGCAGTCTCCGGTCGGGGACTCGGTAAATGGCAAAGAGGTAATCTCGACTGTCTGGGCCGTTTTTCAGTAATTGTGATAGATGATCCTCTTCTAGGACTGTACAAACACATTTTTTTTGTGTGACTATTGAACTGGGGAATGGCACACATAGATAGACTATTGTTCGGGTACCGCAAAAGCATTCGTGGAAAAAGGACCCCGGTGGTGAAACATATTGGCAGTCACAAATGGTTTGAGCGAAAAAAATGATATTTTCTTTGGACGAAATACTCATGATTCAGCAGCAAGTCCCTAAAGGACAGAAAGCGAATATCAAAAAGGGAGTGAAAGCAACCTGTATCGGCAACTCTCAAAACAGAGTGAAAATGAAATGGGAGTCCAGGCTGTTTATTGTTGTAGGAAGGCAATGGAACTTTGCAAAGCGCAAAATAGCAAGGACAACAAGACTGTACGAAGGAGAGCGCCTATATCTGCTTAGATTCTGATCCTGTCCGCAGCCATTTTATTGCCTTTTCAGCCCTTCGTCCTTGCTTCTTCGCTAGGTGCCAATTTTTTGCTTCCCGTACGAGCTGCTCAGCAAGTCAAAAAAAAAGGGCTTTTGTGTCTTAGCTCTCTGCACTTCTTGCAAGCCCATACGGAATTTTTTGGTTATTTGGTTTTTGTTCCAAATACAAATTAATCATACAAATTTAAACATTTCGTTCGTTGGTTTGCGCCCAGCTCACGGTGGATTGCGAGTGAAGGATGTCTTAGGACCGCTGTTACTGGATCGCGCATCAAGCTAGTGGAGGGGTTCCTGGCTGTCTTTTTCTGTTGGTCCGTAGCTGCTGCTCTCGTTGGCGTTCCTAGTTCAATGTGTTTATTTTCGGGTCTCCTTCCTTTCGTTTGTTGGTTCGATGTATGTATTGGTTCTTTGTTTTTGCTTTTTGTTGTCTGTCCGTTGCTGTTGTGTCGCCCCCTGTGTGCGGTACTCAGCCGAGGACTACGTATACAGTATCGGATAGAGTTCGGCGCACCTCGCCCCCGGCATCTTAGCAAAATTCTGCTACTCCCAGGGGTAGTAAAGTACAAAGAACTAAAAAGAGGTAAGAGAGAGAGCGCCTGTATCGCCTACTCTCGGTTTTTTTTTAACAAAGCAATAAACGAAGGAGCAAAAATGATCAGCTCTACGAACGAAAGTAAGCCAGATTCAACGCGTAACAAATTTGGCGTGACAAAATTGGAGCGAACGAAGATGTAGGCAAGGCAAAAGTGGCTGCGGAAGACCTAACTACCAAACAATCCAAAACAACCCAAAACACCCCACCCAACAACCCCCTAATTTACTACGCGCCCGGCTAGAATCCTTCAGAGGATATCTCACGGCCGATCTTGATGAAGACTGTTGCTTCAGCAAGACACCCCTACTCCCAGTTTCAACTCAAAGATGCCTAGCTCCAAAGAAGTTCAAAGGAGCTTTGAGCCGAAACGCCTTGAGCCAAAGGCTACGGACGTAATTAGGGACCGGGATCGTGCGTTTTTCTGGTAGCGCTTGTACAGCTTGCCGCTTTTCTTAATTTGGCTTTTGCTTTTTTCTCATCTTTCAGTCCTGGCGACTGCGATGACCTGTCGCGCGCGCCTGCAGAGCAAAAAAAAAACAATCCCAACACTTTCCAGTATTTCCCAGTGATTTACCAGTGATTATCCAGTGTGTAACCCAGTGTGCAACCCCATTGTGTAACTCAAATATGCCACGCAGGTCAGGCGAAACCCACTTCCAGTCTTAAATTTCTAAAAAAAGAAGAATTTTCTTCTTTTCAAAGTGTTACCATTCCAACTGCGCCTTTCGCATGGCATACAGGTTTGGGGTGGGATGCTGCTGGTTGCCTTTAGAGATACTGGAACATCGAGGGTGACGTCCAGTCAGGTAGGACACGAGTGACCCTTCACGAAGGTACCTTAAGGGGGGGGCTTAAGCCCCCTTCAAATTCCTCAGGTTTGAGGAACTCTTTTGAAGGGGGCTTAAGGGGGCTTAAGGGGTCTTAAGGGGGCTTAAGGGGGCTTCGAAGGGCTTCGAAGGGGGCTTAAGGTGGCTTCGAAGAATTCTTGTTCGTTTGACCTTGAACTGAATTGAG